GGATAATCTGCTCTGCATACATGTTGAAAAGGTATGGAGACAGGATGCATCCCTGGCGTACACCCTGCCCTATTTTGAACCATGCAGTGTTACCCTGCTCTGTTCTGACTACTGCCTCTTGCTCCAAGTAAAGATTGTTCTAGCCATTTAAAAAAAAACATTATTTAACAAGATTTTACTTGAATATGATACTTTTTTATAATAATTCCCACATTCTCTTGTGTCACCTTTTTGGGGAATGAGAACAAACATGAATATCTTCCAATCATTTGGCCAAGTAGTTGTTTTCCAAATTTCTTAGCACAAACTGGTGAGCATGTCCAGGACTGCATCTGTCTGTTCAGACGTGTCAGTCGCCATTCCATTGATCTCCACGGCCTTGATTTTAACTCATACTTTCAGTGCCACTTGAACTTCTTCTTTCATTGCCATTGGTTCTTGTTTATATGCTACTTTCTGAAATGGTTTTGTGCCAATCAAGTCTTTTTTGGTACAACAACTCTGTGTATTCCCTCCATATTCTTTTTATCTTCCCGGATCCTTCAAGATTTGGGCCATAGAATCCTTCAGTGTGGCAACTTGAGGCTTGACGTTGTTTTTCAGTTCTTTCAGCTTGAGAAATGCCAAAGGAGTTCCTCCCTTTTTATTTTCTAACTCCAATTATTTGCGTGGTTTGTTAGGACACTTTGCTTTTTCTTCTCGAGCTGCTCTTTGAAGTCTTCTGTTCAGCTCCTTTAACTTCAACATGTCTTCCCATCATTTTATCTTCTTGATGTCCTAGTGCAATCTTCAGAGTCTCTTCTGACATCTGTGTTGGCCTTTACTTACACTTCTGTCTTTGTAATAACCTCTACACCTGTACTGAGTGTATTAAATGTTGCAGTGGGGAAGCAGCAAAGATCTGGTAGGGACATCGATCAAGGACTCAAAGATCCTGGGTGGTATGCTGCGTTGTTGTTATGTGCCATTGAGTCGCCTGTGACCCATAGCAATGCTCTGTACAGCAGCTCTGAAGCCTGCCCTGTCCTGAGTCAGTCTCAGTAATACTGACACACCAACCCCCATTGCCCCAGTCACTGTATCAATCCATCTCATGCAGAGTCTTCCTCACCTGCGCGGTCCCTCCACTCTTCTGAGCATGATGTTCTTCTCCAAGGACTGGTCCCTCCTGGCCACATGCCCGAAGTGTGTTAGATGGAGCTTCAGAATCCTAGCCTCCCAGGAGAGATTTGGTTTCACCTTCTCCAAGACAGACCTATTTGTTTTCCTGGCAGTCTATGGTATGTTCAAGACACTTCTCCAGCACCACAACCCAAAAGCAACAATTCTTTCTCTATCATCCTTAGTGATTGTGTAGCTCTTGGATGTATAGCAAGTACTTATGAAGACCATGACATAGTGGGTACAGTATCAGGCCTGCTAACTGAAAGGTTGGCAGTTCAAATCCATCTGTCGCTTCTCAGAGAAAGAGGAATCAATTTTTCTCATAAAGATTTTTTTTAAACCCAACAAAGGTGGCTGACTTGGGAAATCTGGTGAGGCTTTCTGGAAAAGTGAAGTCTAGGATGGTAACAGATAAGGCAGTCAGAGGGGGAGTAGTAGGGACTGTTCTTGGAACAAGGCAAGTGGAACAAGGTGGGATGTGGGGGATAGGGTCGACTCTGAGCTAGGGCACCTTTCTAGGATGCTGTGAGGGAATTTTTACTCTAGTGAGGGCTGGTGTTAAGAGGCAAACAGAGAAAAGGTTCCCCCTCCATTTGCCTCTTCTTCAGAGGTGAGACCTGATCCTAGTCAGTTGCAAGGAACATGGGGTGAATAGGCTCCCTCTCCCAGCTGAGTTGAGGGGGCAGCCCCTAGTTTTCATTTCTACTCCTTTCCAGGCCCCCCTTCCATCCTTTCTGCCTCTTCCTGTGGGCTGGCCAGCCGCTCCTCCCAGGCCGAGGAGTTTTTGTGTCAGCACTTGGGGATATTACGGGTCCCCAGACATTAGGGACTTAGTGGAGAGGAAGCTGGGAGTCTCAGAAATGCTCAGCTCCTCCAATCTCTCCAGGATTTTAAAGGTGTGCACCTCAGAGGGACATTGTTCAGTCCTCTCCTTTGGGAAAGGTTCTCCTTCCCAGGAAGTGGACAGGCTGCATTCATTGGATGGAGCCAGGACCCAGCATTCTGTGGGAGTTGTGAACTCAAATCTTTGGACGTTGAGTCTCCTGAGCCTCAGATATAAATGGGGGTCGGGGGGTAGGGAGAATCCGACCCTCAGCTGCCTTTGTTCTCTGGCCACTGAGGGCATGACAGATGAAGACCATCACTGTCATTAAATACGCACGTTTTGTGTCAGCTGCCCCGTGACACACCCTTACTCCTCTGTCCCACAAACCTCTGCATCACCAAGGCTCCTCTCCACATCACGAAATCTTTGGGCCTCAATGTCTTGGAAAATGGCACATATTTGTTTCTGGAAAAGATTGGAAGCAAATGCATGAGCCTGTTGCTTCTTCTCGCTGGGCGGCATTCTTTGATACAATCTCATCCCCCTCTTCCTCTCTGTAGCGGTGATATGTTCTGCGTTTCCTACAGACACTGTGCATCCCTGGGTCATTAAAATGAATAAAAATGGCAATTAAGTGGAATGGGCACACTGGTGGCCTAGTGGTAAGAATTCGTGCTGCAGTCCCAAAGGCACGCAGTTCAAATCCACCATCTGCTTGGTGGGAGAGAGAAGGACAATGGCCTCCTGTGTGATTTGCTGCCTCTGATAAACCCACCGGAGGGTCAAATATGGGTTGGTTATTATTGTTGTTATTATTATGGGTTATTATTATGTTGTTGCATACAACAACCACCAGGAGGATAGGGATTTGCAAATACCAAACTCCCTGGCCAAGATGGTGCTGGAGGGTCTTGTCTGAATATCCAAATGACTGGTGGAGAAAGGGGCCTGGGAAACGGGTCAGGCAGCCTGGAGTCCTCTCTGGTCCTCAGTGATGTCCAAGAGCGTGCATCCAGCCACAGAGTCCGCTCCCAGTGGGGTTTGCCTTGTCTGCTGCCTGCCCCACCGTCCAGTGCGCTCCTGAGAGCGGGGCTGCACTAACTACTGCTGACAGAGCGCCCCGGGATGCTGAACCTGCGTGTGAACCACGCTGTAGCTTGTGTGAGTGGAATTGTGACCCTCAGGGCTCCTGCCAGGCTCACTGGGCCTCTGCATGCTCAGACACCTGCAGATCTAACTTGCTCTTGGGGCTTCTTGTTCTCCAGATTCATTTCCCGGACGTGGAGCGGGTCGAGTGGGCGAACAAGGTAAGGTCTGGGTCCTGGTTGGGTGCTGTCACCGCTCCAGACTTCAGTGCCCCCCAATCCTGGCTCTGTGCAGGAGTCACCCGCAGCAGCAGAGACCCTGATGGAGTGCGAGGGGGCCTAGGGCTTCCAGATGGTTCCCAGGCCCCTAGAGAGTCTGAAAATGACCCTCCACCACTGGGGAGGGAGCCCTTCTTTCTGAACACCTGGCCCCTCTTGGACTCTTCTCTTTCAGCAATGGCTTTCTTCTTTTGGGGGAGGGAGAGAGGCTTGAAAATTTACACACAGCTGCTTACACACAACCACAACAGAGAAGGTTGAAAACATAGAGATAAGTCCAGCATGAACAGGCCATCTGCCAAAGGGCCCAGCAGGCCAAGCCCAGCGCTTTCAGTTTGACATCTTCAGGCTCCCATCTCAGCCCCAAGCCGGTCTGCGTGACTTCGGGTAGATTACTCAACGTCTCTGAGCCGGCTTTCCTCACCTGTAATGTAGAAATAATTATAGTCCCTGCCTGGTGAGATTGCTGTGAAAATTAATAAGGTAATTAGCGCACAACAATGCCTGGTACTGACTTCATGGCCGTTCAGATATTTTTTCAGTTTCTTCTTGTGATTGAACTTACATCACCGGGAGCCTAGCTAGTGACTCAGCCACCAGATGCTCCAGGCAACCCTGACCTCAGGGCTGGCCATCTCTCAGCAGGACCAGTGAGGGAACAGCCCTGCCACGGCCTGATCTGCCCAGACAGGTCGCTAATGGAAAGGCCCTTTTGCAGCCCCCATCTCTGTCTTCTGACTCAGCACGTTTTTCTAATACAAACCTTTCCTGTGTTTGGGGAAGAGGCTTAGCCCAGAGCAGGAATTACTCAGGCAAAGTTTTAGGATGGTGTTCCTGGTGGTTGTTGATCAGAGGTTAATGTTCTTTAGGTATCAGAAATGTCAATGGATTAAAAAAACCTCGTTAATTTCAACGAACATCTACAGAGATGTTCATTGAAATAAAAAAAAAGTTGATACCACAAGAAAAAAACCCAACAAAACACCTCATTAAAATTTGGAGAAAATTGGTAACTGCTTGTCAAAGAAATTTTGAGGATTAAATGACAGGGGCAGAGTCTCTGGACCACACCTGGTACCCCGGCCGCACAGTGAGTTGGTCATTTGTACATGAGTTAGCTCGTGGATGCATGTAGCTTTGTGGTTGTTGTTGTTGTTGTTGTTGTTATGTGCCGTTGAGTCGTTTGTGACTCATAGCGACCCTATGTACAACAGCCCTACACTCTGCTCTGTCCTGTGCCAATCGCACTGTCTCTGACACTCCCATCCCGATTATCCCAGTCACTGAATCAATCCACGTCATAGAGGGTCTTCCTCTCCCTCTACCCTCCCAAGCGTGATGTCCCTCTTTTTTTCCCCTTCACTAACACACAGAGACCAGCACAGCACAGGGCCTGGATGGGGAGACAGGTGTGAGGACAAACTGTACACTAGGGCACTGAGGTGTTAGGGCCAACTTCACACCCACGGCTCACGTGGAGAATGAATGACACACCAGCAAGACAGAGGATGAGACCGGGTCTAAGAAAGTAGAATCTTAAGGACTAGAGTTTGGAGAAGGCCCTGGAAGAGAGGTCCATTTTCCAGATGGGAACAATGAGGCCCGGGAGTCTCAAAGCCTTTAAGCTTTAATGGATTTGGAATGGGGAGAGGGCAGGAGGTGGTGCATCTTTAAGTTAATACTCAGGCTCAAAGAAGGGGAGAAGGGGTACCTCCAACAGCATATATTGGCTGACTAACCTTCCTCCCGCCCCACCCCACTGCAACCACCCGTGTCACCTGCCATCAGGGAGGGTCTCTACCCTGTCCTGTTCCCCCGGCCCATGGGCACCCCCAGATCAACACCATGGGGGGTTTTGCTTCAGGGATCCACCCAGAGCCACTCTTCCTCACTGTGATAGAAAAAAAAAATCCACAGGTAGTCATTTATGATTCTTTTCTGTGAGGTTTTCCTTAAACTTCAGGAACCTGCTTCTTAATAATTCCAGACTGTAGAAAGGGACCATGTATATATATATAAGCACAGAGTTAAAAGGCTTCATAATATGACGTTTAGTGAAAGATTTCACACACACACACACAAAGAGTTTTGCAAAATGACACCTGACACCAGAGCCTGCAGTCCTACTGCCAGCATCAGAGGGACAGGGGGGAGATGGGAAGAGTTGTGGAAGGGGCTGGGGAGGTGGCTATCAGCTGTTAGGTGGACAGATGAGTGAATGGTGGGCGTGCCAGGGAGTATGGTTCCCCACCCTCCAGAGCCAGGCTGCAGAGAATCAGGGTCCCATCTTTGCAACCCTGAACCTGTGTGGGGACACAGGCCTGCCCATCAAGGGCCTCTTCCTGTGACCCCCAGATCATCTCTCAGACCTGGCCCTACCTAACCATGATCATGGAAAGCAAATTCCGGGACAAACTCGAGCCCAAGATCCGGGAGAAGAGCACTCACCTGAGGACGTTCACCTTCACGAAGCTCCACTTTGGGCAGAAGGTCAGTGCTGCCTGGGGCTCCCCTCGCCCACCTCCTCATCCCTCCTCCCCCACCCCATAGCTCAGTCACCTGACTTCCAGGTTCCCACAGGTGTGACGGGGCACCACCCCTCTGTGCATTTCCAGCCTCTTGAGCTCAGGACAGACCCCCTTGGCCCCAGCACCATCCCTTCATGCCTGGCTCAGAGGGAACAGTCAAGGAAACATGGGAAAATTGTTTGAGTCTTTTTAAGCAACGCTTTGAAAACATGACCACGCAGTAGAAATCAGACAGATGTATGTCAGAGCTGCTCACCTTCTTCATCAGCTCTGGGAGACCTCCCTTCCGTGCGTGGATAGTGCCACAGGGCGGGGGGCTTTCAAAAATTGGATTGCATACAAATCCTCCTGCATTGTGTGTCAGTCATGTATATTGTGTTTCATACGATCAATCATATACATTGTTGGTGTTGCTATTGTTGAATACCATCAAGTCAGAACTGACTCAAAACTGACCCTCCAGTGGGTTTTCAGGAGTTAATCACTCGGGAGGAGATTGCCCATCCTTCTCCCACAGAGCTGCTGGTGGATTTGAACTGTGTGCTTTCAGGATTGCAGCCCAGCTTCTTGCCACTAGACCACCAGTGTTTTCCTTATACATTGTGTTTTATAAAATTGATTCCCGTTGGTCTATATGCCCACTATTACTCCATCTTCTCAGGTCCCTTACTGGAGCTTTCCTAATTCCTTTACGCACTCCCTCACCACCCACCAGACTCTGTTAGCCTAGTGGTTCCTCCTCTCTCCACCTTCTGCCCCCCAACCCCTCTCCCCCTTTGGACCTTTATGCACATCTTACGAGTTATCCTTCTATTTTCACTATAATGATCTAATGCAGTATTTGTCCTTATATGACTGAGATAGTTCACTCAGTTATAATGCTCTCTAGACTCTCCCATGTTATATAGTATTTTTTTTTTCAAATCGTTGTTCCTTAGTGCTACGTTGTATTCCATTGTGTGAGTGTACCACCATTTCTCAATCCACTCATTTGTTGATGGACAATTGGGCTGTTTCTATTTTCTTGTCTTGAGAATAATGCTGCTATGAACATAGGTGTACACATCTTCATTCTTGTCTCACTTCTCTTTTCCTTGGGATATATTCCGAGCAGCAAAATTGCTGGGTCATGTGGGATTTCTATGTTTTCCTTTTTGAAAAAACACCAAATTGCCTTCAGAGTGGTTGTACCATTTTATAATCCCACCGACAGTACAGGAGAGTTCCAATCTCTCCACATCCTCTCCAAGGTGCCACTGGGAAGCTTTTGAGTCTCTATGAACTGCACTATTTCTGTAAATGTCCCACGGAAAAAGGTCCTGAGCAATGAAGGCTCTGAGCAAAGAAGTCTGTTTTGTTTATCAACAGTCATGGAGCTTTGGTGGCTTAGTGGTAAGGAGTTGGGCTGCCAACTACAAGGTACTTGGTTCTAATCTACCAGCTGCTGCTGTTCTTGTTGTTGTTATGTGCTGTCAGTTTCTTGTGACTCATAGCGACCCTATG